CCCAGGTGTAGAAAAACAGTTCTGCCTCCTCCTTGTCTTCCTCTTTTCCCTCCTCCTCCTCAGAAGTTCCCAGGAGTTGCTGCTTTAAAAACAGGAGCTGCGGAAACGTGGCCCAGAGCCAGGTGCTTAACGTGCATTATCTCCGGCTGCAGCCAGAGTCAGAGCTGAACTCCCCAGAGTCCTTACACACCTCCCGCCCGTCTCTCTGCTGGGCGGCCTCTGACATGGGCCTCTGCACTACTGGGGCTTCCAAATGGGGCTCCAAATCCTCAAAGTCATGATCTGTGAGGCCCAGAAGGGGAGGATTCACTGGTCAAGGAATGCAGGTTCCCCACCCGCTGCTGAGAAAGGCTGAGATGGGCGGAAGGATGCACCTGGGCTTGGCGGGGAAGCCGAGTGCGCTTTAAATCTCATTCTTAATGCTGACCTGGACCCACAGCACAGCTCCTTGGGGTGCGAGGGACCTCAGAGGACACTGAGCTCAACCTCCCAAGTGGGCATCTTGAAGGAGGGCCGCACAGCCTCTTTTGGACACATGAGCTCTGAGGAAGCAGTCCCTGCATGGGACAGTTCAAATGGCCACCAATCACATCAGCGATGACCACCACCATCGCAGCTGCTACAGCAGGCATCTGCTTGCGGCCTTACAGCCTTTGGTCCCAAAATTTTTTGCTCCCAGCCTCCTGCAGCCCTGCCTGACAGGCCCATCAGTAGTCCTGTACCCTAAGGCTTTAAACCCCAGTTAACATGCGAGAGTTGCCAGGAGGGTGACTGTGAAGCTATGGGCCACCATGCACCTTGTCAGGAATTCCTTTACCAGGCAGACTTCCACAACCATAGACACATGGGGTGGCAAGCATGGCTCACTGGGGTAGGAAGGGCTGGGAAGCAAGTAGGCCTGAGGTGGTCATCTCATTTTCCAGAGAGGAACAGCAAGGGACTCCAGCAGCCCTGAGTGGCCGTGAGAGGGACAGTGGCCTGAAGTCAGGTGGAGGGGCCCCACAGAGAAACTACACACTTGTGATATCATTCAGGCTCAAACTGGGCCCACGCTTCTGTCCCACGGCCATCTTTAAGGTGATGCCAAGAGGCAAGCCCCAGGGTGGTGGCCTAGGGACTGTGTGCTAATCCAGACCCTGTGTGGTGCAGACTCCAACCCATGAACCCACCTCCTGGAGCAGACAGGGCAAAGCAGGTCTGGATGCAAGGCTCTAGTTCTCACCCCTCTCCCACCCTCCTGTGCCCCTGCAGGACTCCGGGCAATCTCCCCAGCCCTCCTGGGTCCCCTCCACAGTCCACAGCTTCCTGATGGCCCCTGATGGCTAGAGATTTGTGTTAGAAGCAGAAATTCTTTGGTTTGCTTTTCCTTTTTCTCACTCTAACCACTCCTGGCTTCCAAATCCTCTAGACCAAGAAGTGTTCAGTCACTGCACAATGGTGGGGACTATGTGGTAAATTATTTTGTATCTGCACCGTGTCTGGTACATAGAGGGCACTCAACAGCTGTTCATGGAAGGAAGGAAGGAAGGAAGAAAGGAGGGAGGGAGGGAGGGAAGGAAGGAAGGAGGGAAGGAAGGAAGGAAGGAGGGAAGGAGGGAAGGAGGGAAGGAGGGGGGAAGTGAGGGAAGGGCAGGGGAGGGGAGGGGACGGAAGGGGAAGGGAGGGAAGGGGAGGGCAGAATACCAAGGAACACTTTGAGATTCCCATCTCTTGCTCGGGGAACCCCTACAGTAGTCACATGTCCTGTTGGGGGCAGGGGGTGGATACCTGCTGAAGAGGGTGAAGGGTGGGGAAGAGGGGCTCTTCCTCACTGCACGTGCTGTAAGTTCCTGGGCTTCCCCCGGCTCCTGCCTGGCTCCCAGGCTGTGGTGTGGCAGGACTGAGCGCCGTGAGCAGTGCGTACTCTCAGTCACCTCTTCCCAAAAACTCATAACCAGGTGCAATCTACTGGTAGACTTTTGCAAGTCTTTTCATAGAAATAGTCCCAGACATGAGGAAAGAATGTTGGTTCGATTGTCCTGGAGGTTTGTTCCCCAAACAGAATCTCTGTAAATGGAGGTGTGGCCTCAGAGGCCCAGGCTGGGAGGTCACAAAAGGAAGAAAATAAAACTGGTGAGGTTCCAATTGCAATTCAAAAGCCAGGACATATCTAAAGATGTGCTCCTCATTCAGGCCATCTCAAGCCCCCCCAAAAAAGGGAAGGACAAGCAGCCCCAGGAGGCAGGGAAGTACCCTCCCCTGGGGCTCCAGGCCGCTCAGTCTCAGGGCCCACGAGTCCACTCCTGGGGCAGGACATCTGCCGAGGGGACCAGCTAAGGCCAGCTATGCTGGGCTTCAGTGTGGGGCCACACATCCCCACCAAGAGAGCGGATAAAGAGGGGACAGTGTGAGCCAGACTGAGAGAGAAAGACAGGTAGACAGACAGGGAGGGTGACAGCTAGCAATTATGGCAGCAAAAGCATAGGTGCCCAGAGGTGGGACACAGGGATCTGCCTGAAAGGGCCGCCTGGGAGCTCGAGGGTTCCAGCGACTCAAGGGGTCCCGAGCTGGGAAGGAATCTAGCTGCTTGAGATACCCATATTTGTAAAGGCTGCCGGGTCAAATCCTGGTTGTCCAGATAAAACTATGGAAGGGGCTGGTCTGGGAAGGGCTGGAATTATGAACACCGGCCCCCATGGGGAGACGCAGGGCCAGCCAGGGCTTCCTGAGTGGTTTCATATGAGAAATGTGTCACCACACATACGATGTGAGTCTGTGAGACCATGAAGGTCATTAGGGCAAAGACATACAGACCCCACCTCCCAGAGTCCCAGCTGGGTGACCTCCTCACCCAGCTGGGAAAGACAGAGGGCAGGAGGCAGGAAGTGCCCTCAGGCCCCGGCTGGGTGTGGGGGAGGGAGGGTGGAGAGGAAACAGACGGTTCCTACCGTGGAACTTCCATCTCGACCCCCAAAATCCCCCTCCAGAGCAATTTCACCACATAAGTAAGACCCATAGGACGAGCCTCAAGTTCAGAGCTCGAGCATTTTAGGGGCTCATTACCCTGAGGATGGCGACCATGCGGACACTGCGCTCTCCTGCAGTGACTCCTTTCATCTTCACAGTGGCCCATGAGTGAGTATTTCCACAGTCCCCACTTATCAACAAGAAAACTGAGGCGGAGGAGGCTAAGCAATGGGTGCACGACGACACAGCTGGTGGGTGGTAAGCAGGGCCTTGAACTCAGGGCTGTGTGATGCTCTTAACCACAATCTGTAGCCTCAGGTAAAGTCCCAGACTCTCCACAATGGGGAGGTTGGACTAGGCCCACACGGTGTCTAAGATATGTTAGATTTGAGGTGATTTCAGGAGAAGCCAAAAGCTTGGCTCTGTCGGGCCTCTCCACCCAACTTGTCCCTCTTTCCTCACCAGCCAGGCATCCAGCCTCCTACCAGCCCAAGACCCTGCTGCAATCAAAGGGAAGGTGGGACCTCCATGCTGCACTTCTGCCTTCCCTGGGTGAAGAGGAGGGCGTGGGGGTAGGACAGTGAGGGGCTGAGATGGAGACGGGGCGCCTGCCCACTCTGCCCATCTACACCTCCAGACCGCCTGAATGCCAGGGGAAGTTCACCAAGAGTTTACAAACCTCCTTTGTCACTGAGCGCCGCGGGAGCCATCAATCACGCCCTAATTTACCAGTGTCACTTTCCAGAGGAAAGCTGCCCAGAGCCGCCAGTGGCGCTTCCTCTCTTGCCCACTTGATGAGGATTTTGTCTAATTGGTCCACGTTAAAGCACTCCCAGGAATGCAACGTGCAGTTACCGTGGCAGCGGCAGCAGGGAGCCCTGAGGAGGTGCCCTCCCTGGCATGAGCCTGGAGTCCGTGGGGGACCTCTGGGAAACCCGGAGAACCCACAGAGGGGCCTGCTGGAAAGGGGTCTGGAGAGGAATGTCAGGGATGGGGGAGGGGCAGGCTAGGAAGGAAGAAGGCAGCGCAAAGGATGGATGGAGAATGACAGGGTCTGCCCCCTGCCCTAGGCGGGGACAGGCATCTTGCCTCACAGACGTAGACTGGGTCTCACTCTCTGTTGCTCTCCCCGGAAGCCACGTGGGAACAGAGATCCAGAGGGCTGCACTAAGCCTTGCTCAGCACTGACCCCTGACTGGGAATGCCCGGAGCTTTGGCCATCTGGGGCCCTGTAGCTGCGCCCAACACCTTTCCTCCTGCACGCATTTCCCCAGTCACACCAGGCTTCGTTCAAGCTGTTCCCTCCGCCTCAGATGCTGTTCCCTTCTTCATCTGCCTGGTGACCTGGTCGTCCTGCTGGTCCCAGCTGAAACATCACTGACACTAAGATGCCCTTTCAAACTCCCGTGGGCAGGAGGGTGAAATCTGTCTCTCTTCTACCTGGGCTTCCACTGCCCCTAGCACAGGGCCCCTGCCCTCATCTACTTACAAGAGGGTCTTCCTGACCCTCTTGTGAGCTGCATGGAGACCAGGATCATATGTTTGTCATCTGTATATCCCTGCCCAGTGTGCTCGGAACATGGTTGGAGCTTCATCAGTCTCTCTAGAATGAATGAATGAATGACTATCACTCCCTTTAATGCATAGCCTCAGATAACCCACAGGCCAAGTCGCCCTCCCAAAACCTGCCAAAGGGCTCTCCTGGGCTGTCACCCTGCTCAGGGGAATCTTGTCCTGGTATGACATTTATCGGGGGCCACCCAAGGAATTCAGCACCAGAGCACCTAAGGCCAGGAAGGGGCTTTGCAGATAAAGAGTCCTCTCCCCTGGGTGACTGTTCAAGGCCACCCAGCAGCCAGTTACCAGGAGGAGAGACACACCTATAATCCCAGGCATTTGAGGAGTCCTGAAGCTGAGGCAACTCCCAGCAAACCTCTAAGAGCTGATCTCTCTGGCCCCTTCAGAATTCTGGGCATATGCAGGGCACCCCCAAGTTCCTGTCCCTGCCTCCCCTATGCTCCCCGGAAGCTACCGCCCACCCGGCTGGTGCATACCTTGCGCTTCTTGGCACGTCCCTCGGCCTGCAGGGTGCGGGTGCAGCGCTGCACACACTCGGAGAAGCTGAGGTTGCTGTGGTCGGCACTGTAGTCGAGGTCAGCCAGCCGAGCCAGGGAGAGGATGTAGTTACAGGCGATCCTCAGGATGGCCAGTTTGGACAGCTTCTGCCCATACGAGTAGCACGGCACCTGAGGGGAGAAAGTGTCAGGAGGGGCTGCAGGGGCGCGGTGCCCAGCCTGGCAGGCATCGGAGGCGGCCTGTCTACGGTATATCTAGGCCCTTCACCTTGGTCTTGTGATCTGCTCTATGCACCTGCTGTTTACACACACACATACACACACACGTCGGCTCATCTGCTCTGAGAGGTACCCACATTCCCATTTTGCAGGGGAAGAAACAGGTTCGGCTCATGCCTGCCAGCCAGTCAGTATGAATCGAAGCTCAGTGAATTTCCACAACCACCACGGAGCTCTGTCCTCCACCCTCCTGAGCAGGAATCTCTCTGAGAGAACAGGCATTTTGTTTTTTCAGCTCTGATGTTCCATTCATTCATTCAGCAACACCTGTTTTGCTGGGTACTTGGGGAGTACAAAAGTGAATAACTTGATTCCTACTTCAGAGAACTTATGCTTGAGTGAAGTTATAATGTCACACCTGGGACTCTGGGGACATACAGGAAGGAAAGTGTCAGTGCTCAGCTGGAAAGACACAAACATGGCTGGTTTTCATTTTTTAAAAATCTTTTACTCTGTGCCCTCAGGACTTGGGGTGCTGCTGGGCAGACAACAGCGGCATAATACACACTCACAGCACTGAACAAACTTGACACATTTGTCAATGATTCGTCACCAACTAGCTCCTCACTAATTGCACAGGGATTTGTATGGGGTGAAAGATGGAGCCTTTGATTTTTTAATACCTCTCTCCACCAATATTCGTGCTGCGTGAGCAAAAAGCTCCAAAGACTGCAGTACACTTGAACAGAGTTCTGTCTTGGAACCTGGAAATAGCTCCACAAAATCAACCTGATAGATGCTAACTAATAGATCCCACTGTTCCTATAATGCACTGTTCACCTAAAGGGCTAAAAACCCAGCAACTACGGCTCCTGGTTTTCTCCTCGCTATGGCTCTTCAGGATCTACACGTGTCATCCATATCATTGATGAACCCGTATCCCACAGGGGGTGGGACGGCACGATGCATCTACACAAGTATTTAGTGAGCGCCCACCATATGCCAGGCATTCTTTCAGGCCAGTGATTCTCAACCAGGGATGATTTTGTCCCCTAAGGACAGGGGAGTGGGGGCATTGCAGGGACGCAGGTGGGGACATTGCTAAACATCCTACAGTGCATAGGATCCTACAGTGCCCCCACAACAGAGAACTACCTGCCCCCAAATGTCAATAGTGCCAAAGATGGAAATCCCTATTCCAGAGCATGGAGAAAAAGCATGAACAAGACAGTCACCCCAGACTGGGGACCCTAAACACATCACCCACTTTGATCTCACTTTAAACCTCACTGTGTCCAAGAGCTTTCCCTGACCTCCCCTACCCTACACCAGGAAGGACAGCTTGCCCTCAATAGTGCCCTAATAGCACCCCATCTGTCCTTAACTGCCCACACTGTGGCTCTTGAGTGCTCAGTCTCCCTATGAACTGTGGGGGGAAGGCCTATGTCTGCAGAGGCTAGCACAGGTCCTGCCCGTAACAGGCCCTCAAAGGGGTTTGTTGATTGAGGCAATGAGTGAACAAATCAATGACCTCTCCCTCTGGATCTTCACTCTAGAATATTTTGAACTGGGCTCAAACACCTTTCCTCTCTCTGATGATGAAGATGAAGCTATCTGGCATAAAGCTAAGTGTATCTTTTTGTCACATGGGTTCAACTCCTGGCTCTAGCTTTGTCTAGCTGTAACACTCTGGGCAAGGGACAGAATCTTTCTAAGCCTCAGTTTCCCTGTCATATCGGGAACAGGACTGACCTCACAAGGTGGTGAGGATTAAATGAGATGAGATGTGTGCATTACATGGAGTAAGGCCTGATAGAGGTCTGTGAAAGTGTTATGGTTGGTTTTGCAGAAGGTCCTCAAAGAGGGGCTCCGGAGGGGGTGAGAAGCAGGAGGTCTGGAGCCAGGACACGTGCCTGCCCCACCCTCCACTCTCTGGGGGTGCTGAGACTAGGAAACCCAGAGAGGGAGAGGAAGGCAACAGAGAGAGCCAATTCCCATGCATTTCCACCCCTCACCCCATCTCCCACTCCCAGGCCTGGCTGCAGCTCCAAACCCATCCCAGAAATGCTGGCAGAACAATGCACTTTGCTCGTTCCCAGCCAGAGTCCAGGGAATTCTGCTTTATCAGCCTGAACAAATAAACAAGGTCTGGTAGTCCTGGGGCAGGGAAGGGGGTCTCAGGGGCCAGCCAGCACTTCTGCCTCCTCTTCACCCCAGGGAGGGTGTGGCAGCCTGAGGGAGGCTCTGGAGACTGGGTGCAGCTCTGTGACACAGCCCTCAGCACTGTTTTCACACAGACGCCACGCTAGGAGTTTCCCTTAAAGACCCAACTCTTTGAGCCCTTGGCCTGTAACAGCTGGCCTTCCAGGAGGGAGCAGGGATTTTGGAAGGGATCCGTACCCTGTGATCCAGGGTCACTGTAGGACCCCAAAGTGACAGCTGAGGCCAAGGCCAATCTAGAGGTCCGCATGCCAGGTTCTGGGACAGTTCTGTCCTAGATATGTCACTTTGCCCTATTGTCTCTGTCAAGCTCTAGATCTAACAAGAAGAAACCCATCCATTGAGCTCTTGTATATCTGACACTGTGGAAGCTATTTACAGGTAGTGTTAGCCCATTTAAAACCTTCCCCACCATCTGTACACACAAAAACAGAGAGATGACATATTGGGCCCCAGATCACTCAGCTAAGACCTGTTTGGAGTCAGAAACTCGTCTGACTGACACCAGGCACACAGCCACTAGGCTCTCCCGGCTCCCACCACCACACCAGAGGTAGCCGTATACGGGACACCAAAGGCCTCTTTCAGGTTGCTCACCTCTCCTCCTCCCCAACCCCTAGGGGCAGCTCCTCACCACCCGGCCAATTCCAGATCCTCCTGGTGCCCATGCTCCAGGATGCAGCCCCTCAGCCCCCAACAGCCCAGCTCAGAGGCACCCCAGACTGGGCTGCCACTGCAAAGTGAGAATTTAGCACCTGTTCTGGTTCTAGGACGTTGAAGTATGGTGGAAAGAGCTGGTCTGAATTCCAGGCACTTACAAGCGGTATAGCTGTGGGAAGTGCCTTCACACCTCAGAGTCTCCGTTTCCTCATCTGGAAAGTCGGGGTAGCAATGCCTGGGCAGCCCACAGAGCTTCAAGGACTATATCAAGCAGCTTCCACTGGAGTCTGAGCAGCACAGATTCTCCGTGACTGTTGGGCCCAGGCCACTTCGCTGTTATTACGGTCTACTAAGGCCAGGCAGAGGGTGGATGTTTCAAATACAATGTCTGTATTCATCTTTTAAGCAGCACAATGAGGTAGCAATGGCCACTTCCACTTTACAGAAAAGCGTGTGATTCTCAGGCATGTAGGAATTTCCTGGATCTCTCAGCTGGTGAGTGATGAGCTGGGTTTTGAACTTGTGGCTTAGCTGGGCTCTTTCCAGTTAGCCAGCAGGAACTGCTTGGGGATCTGAATAAGTGTCTATAGCTTAAGATGGGGAGGTAGGCAGCCCACCCTCCTGAGCTAGGGATGGAGAGTTCTGGGCTGATGATGCCATGAGATCCCTCTTGGAGTATCCACAGCAAGGCCCAGAGCCCACCCACCCCCACCGCCTACAGAGTCCCCCACAGCAGTTGTCGGCTCACCCTGCTCAGAGGACACGGGCCAAGGGAGGAGGCAGAATTACCTGGCTCCCACTCCCGACAGACTGCCCAGCTGCCAGGAAAGTAAAAGGATCTGCCTTGTGCTCATCCCACAAGGATTTTTAAACTTTGGTGGAACAGACTTTGGCATTTTCGCAAGGTCCCATATGCCCCCAAAACATTCCACCCCACCCACCCTAAGCCGGACCCGGTTCCAGCAAGCATGAAAAAACATGAAGAGCACTGGCCTGGGAGCCCGAGGGCCTGACTCTACTAATGGCCAGTCAGGTGACCTTAGGCAGATCCATAAGCTTACAGGACCTCAGTTTCCTCACCAGTAAAATGGGCATCAGAACACCTGCTACCTCAGAATGAGATCACAGGGGCAAATGAGGGAAAAGTTCCTAAAGAAGCAACGCCAAGAACCCACCAGACAATGCAGGAAAGGCCTCAAAGCCCTCCATGCTCTTGCTTCTGTGCCAACTCCTGCCCACCCTTCAGACCCAGCCCAAGACGCCCTCCTGGAAGCCCACCAAGACTCCTGAGCCCATAGAGCTCCAACAGCACCACATCCACTACACACAGAAGAGCACCGGATTCCAGTGAAATTATCATCTGATCGTCTCGTGTCAGTGAGTGCTGGATTCCCGACGTGAAGCCACTCTACCCAGAGCTGTTCAATGTCCTTCCCAAAGTCTATCTAAATAGGTCCTTTAAAATCCCAACCTCCTGCACTGCCACCAGGCTGGACCCTGAGAACCTGGGTCTTGGTCATTAGGAGCTATGGCCCCAGGGCCAGACAGGCCTGAGTACAGATCCTGGTCACTCTGTGGGCTTGAGCAATCTGCGTCACCTCTCTGTAAGTGTCTTCATCTGTAAAATGGGAAGACAGCACAACGGACACCCCACAGCAGGCTCAGGTAAGGCCTCACTCAGTGCAGTGAGGCTCCACAGCAGCCACCCTGGTGACTGCGGACATGAAGGAACAGGAGGAAGGCCTCTGTCACCCTTACCTACCTGCATGGAGCCCCCAGTGCAAGCAGGCCTGTCCCTCGTTGCCCGAGGGGATGGTGCACAGGTGCTTTGCACTCCCCATGCCCTCCTTGCACCCTGTAGGGTTTCAGAGTGAGGGAGGTGCTGAGAGCACCATTCCCACGCTCCCTCCAGGGCAACCCTGACTTCACTCGATAAGGACCCCCTGGGAGGCTCCAGGGGCAGCAGGGGAGGTAGCCTGGGTCCCAGTTGCTTGGCATGTCCTCCGTGGAGAGGACCACGGCAGAAACCGGGGCCCCGCACTGCCTTCCATTGCTGCCATCTTCCATCAACACTGAGGGGCTTTGAGGGGAGAGAGGAAATCCACACGCACACCACATGCCCCAAGGGTGGGCACAGCTTGTAAGACAGAAGGTCCTGCCACTCTGGCCCCTTCCCTCACCACCCCACAAGGCCGGCCTTTCCCTTTCACCCCTCCCACCTGGCAGGGAGCAGCCCGACTCCCGGGCCAGGCCAGCTGTGCACACATGGCCTTCCATGAGGCGGTGGGGAGGGCTCTGGTGCAGCTGTGCTGGTGGCATGTGCTATGGCCTGACCATCTGCCCCACACCACCCAGCCTAGACCAGACCAGAGGGCTTCTCTCTCTCTCACCTGCACCTCCCCACCTGCAGCCCTGCAGCCACCCTCCCTGCTCCCTTCCTGGTTGAGAGGACTGTGGATTATGACACAGTAGGAGCCTGTCTGGCTTCCTCATGCTGAGGGTAGATGGCTCCAGGACATTAGACAGGCTGAGGAGCAGAGCTGTTAGGAGTCGGGGCCCTGGGAGTCCAACCCAAGCTCCACAGTAACAGTGGCCCACAACTACGCAGGCTGTCACCGTACATGGCCACGAAGCACCGCCACCCTGGAGTCTGGCAAACGGTGTGCCAAGGTAGCGTGTAGCACAAAACCCACAAGGCCACGTGCAGTGGCAACAGACCGGGACAACTTACATAAGCTCTCTGAAACTCAGTCACCATCTGAGAAACAGAGCAGGAGGTGCGATAACAGTATCTATTTCATTAAATGAACTAATACACATAACAAGCTTAGCACTACGCCTGGTACAAAGTAAGAATGAGCTAAATGCTAGTTTCTGTGACAGTTATTAAAATAATTAAATAATTCTTATTGCTTCATCTGTCAAGAGCCTTGCCCAGCCCTGAGGACCTTGGAGATGCTTAAGAAATGTTCACTGCTCTGGCTGTGCACAATGGCTCATGCCTGTAATCCTAGCACTTTGGGAGACCGAGGTGGGTGGACCACCTGAGCTCAGGAGTTCGAGGCCAGCCTGGGCAACATGGTGAAACCCCATCCCTACTAAAATACAAAAAATTACCCAGGTATGGTGGTGTGCGCCTGTAATCCCAGCTACTCGGGAGGCTGAGGCGGAAGAATCACGTGAACCAGCCTGGGCAACAGAGAGAGACTCTGTCAAGAAAGAAAGAGAGAAAGAGAGAAGGAAGGGAGGGAGTTGTTAGGTAAGACGGAAGAAGGAAGGACGGATGGGACGGGAAGAAGGAAGAGAGATGAAGATGGAAGAAGGAAGGAAAGAAGGAAGGAAATGTTGACTGCTCTTATAGGCCTCCTTCCTTTCCTCACTTGCTCTTGCTTTTCTCAACACTGTGGATGAGGTCAGCAATATTACCATTTTACGACTTCAGCAACTGAGGCCCAGAAAGGGTCAGTGACTTGTCCACAGCCACACAGAAGGCATGCAGGGGAGGACAACTCAATGCCTGGCCTCCAGTTTCCCAGGTCAGTGCTTCTTTCATGGTACCAGGAAGCTACTCAGGAGAATGAAGCCCCAGGCCAGAGCCACAATCCCAGAACCCATCTTGGTGCCACACTGGCCAAGGCCCCATTTCAGGCAGAGCTGATCTGCCTTTCCCATTTCCAAGGACCCATTTCAGTCAGGCCCGAGCCTAGCTCCAGAGCTGCAGCTTGTCTGGATTGGGCGAGGGGGTGAGGAATACATTTTACCCAGAAGACTGAGGCCCAGAGGAGGAAGGGGCTCCTCCAGAACACAGGTCTTCCTCTATCAAATAGGTGCCATGGTGGTGAGGGGGACGTGGTGGGTGCGGCCTTGGCCCCTGGCTCTATGACCAGAAACATCCTGGCTGTATTTCTTTCCTTCCCAGCTAACAGGCAGGTGCCATTATGGCCTGGCAGCCTTTCTAGGGAAGGGGCAGAATGGCTGGGGCAAGGAGGAAACAAACAGGAACAGGCACTTCTGTGACCGTGCATTTGTGTGTGCTCTTGAGCATGTGTAAGGAGCATGTGTGTGTGTACCTGCCTGTGTGTTTGCATTGCATACACACTCTCTCCCTGAGAGGGCATGGGTGTGCCTTCTGCTTAGATACACTGAACTTGCCCTTTTTATAGAGAACATCCCACGGGAATGGGGGAAGTAAAAGGAGACCAGGATGAACAATCTCATCTCAAAGGGTCTGCCAAGTGTGTACCCTGCCTTGATTGTTAACAAACATCACAGGCTGGGGGTTGGGGGGTGATACGTGATGCTGATAAAGATGGCACTGTGGGAGGCATTTGGCCAGGAGGGCATTCCAGAAACTGCTGTCATCTTCCCTAACCCACTAAGTGATCTTGGACAAGTCTCTTTCCATCTCTGGGCCTCAGTGTTCCATACTATAAAATGAGTTAATCCAATTTTGACAGGGATGTTGTTTAGATCAAATGAGATGGAACTGATTGTTGAACGAAGTAAAAGTCAGCGGGCACATAAGATGTAACAGAGCACGCAGATGAGTATTCTCTCAGCATACAGAGGGGCAATAGAGGGGCAGAAGGGTCTAGAACCTGCAGTCAAAGCCCCTAGGTGCCAGCCCTGACCTGCTACTCAACAGCTATGAGGCTCTGGGAACGTGCCTCTCCAGTCTAGGAGAGGCTTCCCTAGTGGCAAGGTGGGCAGGTGGACAGGTATCTCTCTGCCCTTCTGTAATCCTTCTGTCCTGGGGAGTGGGTTGCAGGATCCCCCACACACCGCCACCTCTACCCAGCGATGCAGACACAGAGCTGCTGGCTCAGGGTGGGACTGACTGCTCCACTGGGCCCACTGCCCAGGGTTCCAGCTGGTATGGCTGAGGGCAGAGGCCCAGCCTGGTCTGTGACAGCCACTCGTCCCCCACCCCCACCCAATCTCACTCACCACTTTCCCCAAGCCCAAGCAAGACACTTTGGCTCAAAAGTCATATGGCCTCTTTCCTCCAGGGATTCAATTTCCTTTCCATGGATGGCCACAGGCACTACTGCCCCACTCCACCCCAACCCCCAGGAGGAAGAGGAGAGTGATCCAAAAAGAAGATCATGGTTTCTGAAATGTTTTGTTGCTGGCTAAAGACCAGAGAAGTTGAGCAACATTCCTGGAGTCACACAGCAAGTCAGCTGCAGAGCATGCAAAGAAAAAGGAAAAAAAAAAAAAAAAAACACCCTTCAAACCAGCCACATCTACCCTAACCCTTCCCCACGCCCTGTGTAGGGGTGGGAGAGAACTCACCACCTCCTTCCTACAGCTCCTTCTCGCTAAGAAAGTAAGAAGCCTAGAAGCCCAAGCAACTGTCCCTCCCCATCACAGGTAATTCTTGGGTTAAGTATTCTTCCACTACCCGCGCAGGGGCACTGTCTGGTGAGGGCAGCCCGCACCAGCTCCAAACTAAAAAGTCCCCAACTCACCCCAGAACTAGGCTCTGAAGATGCCCCAGAGGGAATCCCCCAACTAGGCAGTCCCCTCAGCAGAGCTGCCTGCTTCACCACGGGTGAAAGGAAGGGATCTCCTAGAAAGACTCCCACCAGCCCATTCCTGAGCCCACCCCTGGGGAGAGGGCACAGGCTTGTAGTGAGGGTTCTTGAGGATGCCAGGGCAAGGAGTGCACAGCCCGCAAGCAACCTGAGTGTTCGGGGCATCACTGCTGGGTCCTGAAGAGGGGCTGACAAGCGCCCCCGGACTGTCCCACCGCAGCATTCCGGGCCTTGCCACCACCAACGGGGGGCCAAGACCCTGACCATGCCAAATGCCTGGAGAAGGCTCCCCCTCTTCCTGTCCTGACCAAGACAGATGCCCACATGTCCCCTCTCCACTCCGCACCGCGCCCAGGGGACTCCGGCAGGCAAATACTCGCTGCCATAAAAGTGAACTATAGAGGCTGAAGTCAGACGCGCAGACAGCGTTACCCGAGGCGGGGGTTGAGGGTGGGGGGTGCTCGGGCCAGAGATACCCAACTTTTATAGCCACTTTGAAAACTATGATCCATACCAACGCTGTGGCAAAGTCACTGCCCCAGGACTGCCCACACCGGTCTGGGCACCACTGTCGGACCGGGTGGGGCAGCCTGCCCTTTAAACACACCTCTATCCCGCCTGGGCCACTCGCCCACCCATTCCCTCGGTCGTCCCCGGGTGCAGTGAGGGCGTGCGGCGGGGAGCGGGTACCTGCTTCCTGAGTGCCTCGAAGGCTGCGCTGATGGTGTGCACCCTCGTCCGCTCCCTGGCGTTAGCCAGGAGCCTCCGGGTCTGCTGCAGGGCTTTGATCTCGGAGGAGGCGGCAGTCGCTTCTCCCGGTCGTTTCCTAGGCGACGCGGAGGAATCCGGGTGGTTATTGTAAATTACGTGTGAAATTGACGAGTAGGAACTTTCCCCCGGGCGCGTTGGGGGCGCTGGGCGCACAGTGGACTCCGGGGGCGCTTGCGGCGCTGGGGGCGCTGACAGCGCGGGGCGCGCGGGCGGTGCGCACAGCAAGATGCGAGGACGCAGACCCGGCTCCCGGAAAGGCTGTGCCTCTGGGCCCCCAGGAGCCTGGCTCTGGGGCGCAGGAGGCGGCGGCGGCGGCGGTGGTGGCGGCGGCGGCGGCGGCGGCGGCGGCGGCGGCGGCGTGGGGAGTCCTGGCCCCACTGCGCCCAGGGCGAAGCCGCGTTTCCGCGCGTCGGAGACCTGGGGCACCCGGGAGCTCCCGCGCTCCCGGGCCGTGTCCGCGCCCCCTCTTGGGGGAACGGCCGGGGCCACTGGGGCTGGCACCGGCACCGGGACCGGGACCGGCTGCAGCCGATGGGTCCTGTCCCGCAGCCCGTTGGTGGCGACTGCGCGGGGCTCGGGCGCTTCCAAGTCCAATCGGAAAGTTTTATAGCCGTTCGCGCGCCGCGCCGGCTCCTTGCCTTTCCGCTTGAGCTTCTTGAGGCCGTTCAGCTCCTTCACGCACACGGTCTTCCACGGCCCGTCCTCGAGGACCGGGATGTGCTTCATGGCGCGGGCGGCGCGCGAGGCAGGAGCGTGGGGCTGCCCGGGCCGCCGCCGCGCTCAGCGCCGAGGAGTCTCGCTCTCCCCCTTCGCCCGCCCTCCCCTCCCTCTCCTCTCCCTTTCTCCCCCTCGCCCGGGGCAGCTGCGCCGCCGGCTTCGCGAAGCCGCCGGGCTGTCGGTTCCCGGAGCGCTCAGAGTGTCATCTGAAGTCGCTGCCGCCTTGCCAGCATTTCTGGAGAACGCCCGCTGCGCTCCATCTGTGTTTGTTTAGCCTCAGTTTACACAGAAGCCCAGTTCGCGAGATCAGTCAGCGCCGCCGCCCGGAGAGGAGGCAGCTCCCGCCGCCACCGCCTCCCCAGCCCCGGCCGCCCGAGCCGCGAGCGCCTTTAAAGAAACAGGAAGCATTTTTCAAAACAGCTGGGCCGCCGGCCGCCTCCTTTGTCCGCGTGCTCCCTACCTCCCCCCACCCCCATCCCCTTGGCCCAGAACCTGCCTCCTCGGCTCTCCCTCCCCGCCCCTACTCAAGTCGGGGGCGCTTCTATGTTCCCAGAGGACAGTCCGCTTCTTCACAACAGCCCCGAGCACGTGATTTATGGGCCCCCCGGCCCTTCCCCAAATCACAGCGGGGCCTTCTCTCCCTGGCCTTGCAGGCCTCTCGGTGACGGTGACGCAGCTCCCACATTGCCCACCCGGCACCTTCCCGCCACTCCCTCCGCCCCAACTCTCCGAGAGACAGAAAACGCCGGGAGCTGGGACTTCTGCTGCGGGCCGATGGGGAAGGGGAGACTCCGGAGTTGCCCGGCGACCCGCACCCGCCAGGCACGGCAACCCAGTCCACTCTCACTTGCTGGAGCGGGGAAGCAAGAGGAGCAGAGGGCTTAAGACAGGGAAACTGAGTCTCCGAAAGTTCCAAAGTCACAGAGGCAGAGGAGGGTGGAAGCTTCGGTTTAGGCAGACCTAACGTCTGCGAGCCTCTGCAGTCACCTCATTCCAGGCGCCCTGCTAAGCCGGGATTTACTCATCTATGAAATGAGAAATTCGGACAACATCAACGCCTAAATCATTGCATTGCTCTGAGGAATTAAAGCACTAGGCACATAGGAAGGGGTCGTCAAATGGTAGCTGTCATTATTATTATTATTTATCGAGGCAAAACAGTTACTTGAGGCAGATTTCCTGGGCCCAAACCCCAGCTCTGCCACTCACTGCATGACCTTGGGAAAGTGACTTAACCACTCTGTGCCTGACTTTCCTTACCTGTAAAACGAAGGTTATAATCGTACCTGCCTCCCCAGGCGGTGTGAAGAGCGTGTATGTGCAAGGCACTCAGAGCAGTGCCTGGCACCAGGCGAGAGCTTTGCTGGTGCCCACGGTTATTGGCAAGGCACAGAGGTCGATCCCCCAGACCCTCAGTCCTCTCTGTGCCATTCCACTGGAGATTCTGGAAAGAAGGGGTCAAACTACCAGAGGACCACCTCCCAGCCACTCCCTTCAGAGGCTCAGAAGAGGGCTTCACTCCTTGCTGGTCCCTCACTCTGTGGCTGTTGCTCCTTAAGGAAGGTGCGCACTAAAAGCCAGCAAAGTGGTTAGGGAGAAGGTGAACTGTCGACCCTGGCCTTGAACTCCGATGGAAACACAAGGGCTCACACAGTGCTTCTCTCCTCCATGGGAGAATGCCTAGGGGTTGAGGAGGCAGATGGCATGCAGGGTGCTGGGAGTTGGGATGGGGATCTGGGCAAAGCTTCGGAGGCAGGAGCATGGAGCTGGGGCTGGCAGTCCTGGTTGGGCCTTGGCTTTTCAACTGTGGAGGCCCGTGACCAAGAGCAAGACGTTTCCTCCCACTTTTCTGTCTTTGAGGATATTTCTGTCCGGCCAACCTTCTCAGGGTAGCTGGGAAAGGACAAAGAGATCATGAATGTCAAAGGACTTTGACATAAGGCTTCAAACATAGAGACACACACACACACACACACACACACACACACACACTCTCTGAGGCACGTGGTTTTCTGACTGTAGTAAATGCAAATCTCATTTTGCTACCAAGGTGGGTGCCAGCATCATAAAGCATGTGCTCCCACAGACACCCTCTTCCCTGGACACCTGCATATTCCTGCACCTTATCTAAAGTCCTGGTTTTTGCTCCCAGCTCTCCCCCACAGCTCCCCTTTGCAAAGCACACTCTTCCTCACCCTTCCATGACCAGCTCCAGTCCCCCTCCTCCTGCGAACCTTCCCTGCTCACTAGTCTCCAATTGCTCTTGCTGGCATCTGCGCATGCTTGCTCAAAAGTCCTGCTGCAACTTAGCCTCCACTGCAGCCCTGTTGGAACTCCTGGGCTTGTGCGTTCCTCAAAGGTGCACTCTTGCCTTCCTCCCTGTCTCTAAGGGCTAGTGCTCAGGAAGCCTCTGATAAGGACAAGCAGCCCTCGTGCCCTTTACGGTCCTGTCTGGAGACCCAGTCCTCCTGTGCATCCAGCCAGTCAGCGGCAGAGATGGAGGAAAAGCGACACTCCTCCTCCAGGGCTGCTCAGGCACTCTCTGAGCTTCAGTATCTTCCTCTGTAAAACGGGAGTAATGATACCATGCCTCACAGGGCTGCAAGGACTCAAAGACGCTGCATGTGCAGCATGTGGCATGATGCCTAGAGTCTGGGAAATGGTGACCTGGGGCATCCTGGGTTAGCCAGCTGCTCAGGCCCCCTTGCATCCCAGACTTGGGTGTAGTTGAAGACTGGAGTGCCCATGGCTAGTTAGGGGGTGTGAGAAGTCTCTAGCAGGACTGAATTTTGTCCTTAAAGAGGCCAAGCTGTGTCTGGGAAAATCACATCTTGGCTGAATACCAAGGGATCCACTCATACTGATCCTGAGCCCTGTGCCAACTTCCCCCAAATAGGGGAAAAGGTCACTGAGATCCCCTGGGGCAGGAGGAGGAGAAGGGATTGGATAGGAATGATCAGGCATGCAGGGTGGAGGTAGAGCAGGGCTCCAAGCCGGGCTACAGGCTCCCAGACAGGCTTTTTCTCCCCAACATGCTGCCTCTCCCGCTGGCCAAATGCCAGGGCCCCAGAGTTGGCAACAGCCAAGCCCAGAGGTATCTTCACCTTGTCACATACCAGGTGTGTGACCTTGAGCAGCTCCCTGACTTCTCTGAGCCTCTGTTCACTATCTGAGCATCATCTCTTGAGTCTCGAGATGGAATGGTGTGTGTGGGAACAGGCGGCAAATTGTAAAGAGGCCAATTGACGTGGAGTCCCCGCTATTGCCACTGTCAGCCTGCCAGGTTGCAGACCTTCCAAGTCCAGGCTGGCTATCCACGCCCCACCAGCCTAAGGGTCAAACCTGTCTTCCAAGGGCTCTTGCTTCTGCCTTCCTCAGCCTTGCTGGAAATTGGGGCAGAGACCAGCTGGGCAGCACCCCCTGGTGGTATCACACTATTGGGACTGCACACAACACTGCGGTCTCCCCATGAGGAACTTGTGCCCATTGTGGTGGCCCTGTAATGACAGTAATGTGGATTTCAGGAATTCATAGACTTTCCAGGATAAAAAGTCTCCCAAGGCTCCAGGTGGCCCTACTCACACCTTTGGATGGGACAACGCAGACGACACCCTATGCCCTTCATTAAAAACATCACCCACTGAATTAACCGTTTGAGGTGACCCTGGGATCAAGTGATGCTGTAACTGGAAGATTCCATACCCCTTGGATGGCAGGTCTAGGGAAAAGTAATAAAGATAAAAAGGGAAGGCAAGGCAAGAGCTTAGGGGTCAGGCCACTGGGAGCAGATGCTAGAAAGCCAGGCAATCGTAATTCTTTAATACTGCCATGCAAGGAGCGCATACGAACTCTATCTCACTAATCTTTATCATCACCCAGGGAAGTAAACCTACTTTATAGATAAGAAGATTAAGGCTCCTAGTGGGGAAAAAAAAATCTTGCCAACAGAAAGAACAGTCGTGGGATTTGAACCCAGGCCAACTGACCCCAAAAGCCAAGCTCTGAACCACTGTGTCCGCTGCCTCCTGAGAGCTCAGCGACTAGCATCTGGGAGGTGATAACTGGGCCATCTATGGGGCTGGCCTGTGTCAGCCAGCTCTTCCTGCTGTGCTGCCAGCCTGGTGGGCTTCTTGCTGTCCACCTCTCAGCTGGAGCCACTGGCCTCCCTTGGTCCAGCACAATGCCCTTCTAGCTCCTTCTAGTCAGGGTCAGATGACAAGGGCATATAGAGCCCAGATCTTGGTATCCAGGCACTGGGGCCCTCCCTCCTTGCCAGTGGAACATGCCCAGCATTTCCTTGGTGCACACACCACCCGAGTGCAGACAGGACAGCCCTGCAGGGTGGCAGCCAGTGATTAGCTGCTTCTTGGCCGGATGGGATGGAACCTTGGATGCTTGCTACATGAAGCTCTGCATTCCTAAATCTGGAGTCCCTATTTATGGCTGTTCAGATTGTTCCAAAGTAGGTGTGGCACCCATAAGAGAAAGGGAGGAAGAGTGGAAATTAGACTGCCAGGAGGAAACTCTCCTGGTGGAAACAGACACAGTATGAATGGTGCCCCCCGGGGTGGTACTCACAGCAGCACCAGAAAGCGCCACCCAGGGGAATGAGAAGAATCCAGAGCTTCTTCCCATCTCCCATTCACAGTGCTAGCGCTGCCACCATTAACCAGCAGGACATTGGATCCAGAGGACAGTGATGAGGCATCCAGGCAAGAAGCTCTTTCAGACTCTCCTGCAATCTTCCTTCTACCTTCCTCTATTCAAATGGCCATCCCAATTATGGAAAACTGAGTCTTTGGGGCTGGGCAGATGCCAGATGAGGACACTCTCTCCCTGAGACCTGCTGTGTGCACCATCTCAGCACATGCGCTGTATACCTTCAAACCCATGTGCAGAGGGCAGTGCCCAGCGGGTAGGGTTTAGTCCTGACTCTTGGTCAGAGTGGAAGGGGAGAGTGGGGAGGGGAAAAGGTCACGAGGGTTGTCAACAAAAAACAGGAGGAGCCTGGCATGACAGATCTCCACACCACTGGTCAGGTATCCTATCATGTCATTTCTCTGCTTAAAACCTCCCCTTGAATTCTTTTGCTCGGATGTGTTAATGGCTGCTATGAATTCCTTCCCTCCCTGTATGCATGGAGAGATGGACTCTGTCCCTCCATTGCCGTGAACCTGGGCTAGCCTGTGGCTGCTCTGACTAATGGAGCCCTGCAGAAGTGCTGCTGTGCTTTATGGAGACTGGCTGTTTCAGCTTCCTGCCAGTTGGAAGCCTTTAGTTGCTAAGGGAGAAGTCCAGGTGGGTTCTACTGAAGAGAGAGGCCACATAGAAAGCAACACAGTGCCAGACATATGAGTGAAGAAGGCGCTCAGCAGAACCTTATGGGTGCCTCCAGCCCCAGCCTCTAG